ATGTTAAACATAAAATATTGCTATTATTGTAAGTAAAAATAATAAGTATATTTAAAACATAAAGTTTTTTTATAATTATTCATGTTATGACGCGTACATATTGGTTTTTTAACTGTAGTTATAATATAGATAGAATTTGAATAAAATAATACATAGTATCACTATGAGTTGGTATGAGTATTAGTCAATAGTTTAACAATAGTTTGCGTTTAAAGTATAAGAATGACTATTTAGATTTTTACAACCATATTTAATTATTATTATATACATGTAGTCGTTATAATCTTAAAAATGAAATAAAAGTTTTTCTTATAAAGAAATGCTAAATTAATTTTTTTTACGGTAATTTTAAAATAATGATTACAAATAAATAAATAAAATAATAAAAGAATAATATAAAAATGATTGACTTTCTATTTCAAAGTTTTATTTGTATTTACTAATTTAATGTTTAAACCAATCAATTTATTCCATTGTTTGTACTAAATATTATATAAATAAGTAGATATTAATTGAATAATTTCGATTTAAATTTAGATGTAAATGTTAAAGTTTCTTATATAAATTTGAAATAATAATATTAATATATATATAAAATTTTTTATTGAAATGTGAGATGATAAATAAATATTATAATATTAATATTATAAGAATAGTTGTGTAACTTTTTTAGTTATAGTTTATTAGTTTATAGTAAAATTATATTAGAATTAGTATTCTTAAGAGCATCAATTATTTTAGTTATTTTCTTTTATATATTCAACTTTTTTCATATCAGCTAAACATTTTTCCAAATTTTCCAGTAGATTAATTTTGTTTTTCTTAGTTTGCTTTTGTTCCTCCGATTTTTAATCCTCCATTATTATTTATATTGCAAGTACTATTTAATTTTAATTAAGCATGATCTGTGATTTTTAGTTTTGATTTTGCGTCATTTATTCGTTTAGAAATTTATGTTTCTTAATTTTAAGTAATTATATATGTTTATCATATACATGTTTATTGTTTTTAAGCGTTCTCAAATGTGAAATTAAAACTTTTTTTTACTATGTATATTACTATAATTCCTTGAATATTTTTAATTTTTTAATTTAATTAGGTGATTGTTGATTAAATTATGATTAAATTAAATTAAATTAAATTAAATTAAATTGTGATTAAATTCATGATTGTTGAGTAAAATAAGTTTGAGCCAATCATAACAATAAGAGTCGTTATAAAAGTTGATGCATAATTTGTTAATAATTTCCTTTTATCTTTATTGTATTCATGTAATTGAAAATTATGATAAAAGTGTAAATTTCTCTACTTCGGCGTTACCACAGTAAAATTTTGTGTATTAGGATTTGTATATCAACTGAAAAATTAGGTGTGTTAATTATAGTTCATAGTTTTCTAATTGGTATGAGACTATTGAATGAGATCAATTTTTATTAAATATTAATATACATTTTCTCATCGGAGAATTTTACTTTCAATAAAAAGTCACTAATATTGTTAATTATTATTTGAAATAGGTTTATTTTAGCAAAAAAAGTAAAGTCTATATGAAATTTTTTAATTCTTCATCAATATTTTTGGTTTATAATATATAAAGTAATGAATTTCAAAAACATATTCTTAAATAATTAAATAAAAAAATCATATGTATTTATTATGTACATCTAATAAATCGATTTTTAAACTTACATATTTAATATTCTTTAATTCTGACTAATACAATATTTTACCTTTGATAGTTAAGGTTTAAATATTAACTTTCTAACTATGAATCGTAGATATACATTTATTTTATATTTTTATTAAATTAAATTTTTATCAAAATTCCACTGTACAGAATATTTCAATTAATATTACCATGTTTTGAATACATAGCAATTAAAATAATTTAAAATACTATTGTATATTAAATACAAATGTAGATACAAAATATCCAATTTTTTCAGTAATTTTTTAGTATTTCAAGATGGTTAAATAAATTTTATAAGTTCAGACTGTAAGTATTACCTTCCAAAGTCACTGTAATTGGAATTTTACAATTGTGTATCTTATTTTATTATCGATACGTATTAAATTATACATAGCTAAAAAGCGAATGAATTTCATACTATAATAAAAAATGAGTTAACGGGAAATGTATATATTTATACTCTTGAAAATGAGGTTGATTTTTTCTAATTGTAATTTTCTATTTTGCAACAGTAAAAGTAAAATTCATCGAATAAAAAATGCCCTCTCCTATGCAAAATTATTTTGCTTTATGATTGAATTTTATCTTTTATATCATCCCTATTTGCGATTACATTATATCTTATTTATTTATTTATCTATTATCATTGAATTAGCGGAATTCGTTGTACCTGGATTTCTAATTTTTAAGCATATTCATCAACATTTTAACGTTGAATAGAAAAATTAACACCACAAATTATGAGTACAATTATCATAAGTGAAACATTTTATTAGATATTCAAGGTTTTTCATCATTAACGCGATTTTAATGATATTAATTATTAATATTAATAATAATAAAAAAATGCTAATAACATTATTATATATTATTGTAAGTGCACTTGTAAGAGATAATTATCTATTATCTCATAAGAGTGCACTGTCAACCTTTAATTTTAATTACTTTTTCTCCTTTTCATATCTTTTCTTAAATAATTTTTTATAAATCATTGAACGGTTAAACAGTCTTTAAGAATTTTTAATTTCTATCTTAATTCTCATATGATTTATTGATTAAATTGACATGTTAGATATGTGTGAATTATTTAATGGAAGTCAGTAAATTAAACAATTTTCCATTTATCTTTAATATTAAATATGTAAAATAATCCGTTAGATCTAGATGTATCTGCTTATGTATTTCAATCTTAAATTTTATTTTATAAATTCAATTAGAATGTGGTTGTTATTATTATTTTAAATTTACTTGTTATATCTTAAAAAATATTAATTTTAATCTATGTTTATTCTATCGTATTTTTATTAATATATTATTTTTAATGACATACAAAATATTTTTCAATTAATTATATATGACATCCAATTCTATTAGAACTAGCTTTCATTCTTGAATTCATATTAAAAATTTACAGTATATTTACATGTCATAAATGACTGAAATTATCTGTATATTTATTTTGGAGATAATTTTATACGTACATTTAAATATAATAGATATTATAATTAGATCAATATAGAAGAAATAATTTTTATTCGTTAAAATTTAATTTCTTTTTTAAAAATATAAAATATTAAATCCTATATATTATAAGTTTAAGTTAATGATTTAGCAAAATTAAAATTCTTATTTGTAAATATTTTTTTTTTATATTATCTTAATGAAACGGAATTGACGAATATTTTCATTAATTTGTTTAAATGATATTAGATTTAATGTTTGTCAAGAACTAATTTAAAATTATAATTTTTAAAAGTTTATAAAAGTTATTTTTCTACAAAACATTTATTAATGACATAAATTTATATAAACCAAAAAGATCTTGTCATTTCGAAATAATGATGAAAATTAAAATTTTTTAAGAAAATGCAACGAAGAAGCTATTATAAATTATTACAGAAGATATTAAATTGATAAAATATTTGACTTAATTTAACTTTATTTTTTATAAATTACATTTTTTTAATTTTGTAATCTCTAAGTATATAAATTAGAAAAATAATTAGGAAAATTTCGATTTATTTTTAATTAATATAATTTTTAATTATATATATAATATTTAATATTTTTAGTAGATGAAATTTTTAAACTTACGTATGAAATTTTGAACACACTTTTGGTTATTGATATTATATTTCTAATGTTAATAAACCTTTCGCAAGTTTAGTTGATCATTATATTTTCATAGTCTTCAAAAATAATTTTAATGAATAAATATCTTTAAATTAAATTATTAATAATCATATAAGTTATAATTATTTTTATTTTAAAGTAGTTTATAATTAAAAAGTTTACATGTACTTGGTTAATTTCTGCTAAATTTTGAATCTATATACTAATTAAAAGTTTTTCTTTTAAATATTGTTATATATTTTTTCTTGAATAGCGAAATAGAGTTTTTATTTTTATTATACAAAAAGTTACTTATTATAGCAAAAAATAAATGATTTATGAAAAACTTGTTCGATTAATTTTTTACTAGACATGAATTTGTAATAGTTTTATGACTTATTTGATCATACATTTTAATGGTTTAAATAAATTTTAAAAACAAAGCAAAATTGTATAGACATTTATAAAATAAATAATAATAAATAACTTAAATTAATATATGTTCAGTATTAAAATAATATATAATTAATTATATTATAATTTATAATATATTATAATAATTAATTAATATTATAATTAATTATAATATATAATAATATATATTAAATTAATATATGTTCAGTATTAAAATAATATTAATTTATTATTTGAGATATATTGAATATTAAAAATTAACATTTATTTAAGTTTAATGTTTTATTTATACAAAGTAATTCATTAATTATTAAATATAAATTATTTTTATATTTAATATATGATTTTTTATATTAATTTTTATATTAATTTGTGAAAAAATATTCCAGTAATTTGTTCATTTAATAAGATTATGTTTATTTAGATTTTTTAATTATTATGATTCGACAACATTGTTTTCAGAATAAGTTAATTCCACTTGAAATTTTGAATACCACAAATTCCTGAACTTTTATTATGTCGCTGATATTGCAAAATTTAGAAGAGAATCAGGTGTTGGACTAATTTTGGAGATTCAATAGGAATAATGCACATATATTTATAGAATATATACATTTATATTACAACATATAAGAAGTTATATAAGATCGTTTGATTCGAAGTTCTGCAACTGAATTATAATTAAAGTAGCATTCGATCACTTTCTTTATCATTTTCTTAATTTGTATGTACTAATACACAAAAGATAATTATAAAATTAGTACAAGTGCGTAAAAAATATTGAAAAATAATCGACTATTTCATCTATTTATGTAAAGTTAAAATTTGTGAAGTTGGCTTTTATCTTATATGTTCACAGTTACAAATTGCAATCAATGTTAATAATCCAGTTAAATTCCTGAGGTATATACTTACACTCGTTCAAAAGGTATATCACCGTCATAAAGGAAGACTATCTTCTGAACCTTTTAATTAAAATAGACTATGGAAGATATGACGCAATGTATTATGTTTTGAACGTATTAAAAAAAAAGATATCTTAATCAAGTTTATTTAGATGAAATCAATTAGAACATGCCAATTAAAACAAAGACGTAAGTAAAAACTCGTTTTTTGGGCATTTATATATTTGAAATTGAAGATTCTGATTTTGTTGCTCGCCTTATTTCTTATAAAAACTTCTTCTATATCAATATAAGAATTAAACTAATTTTCGTTATTTATAAGAAGTGATGATGCCAGATGTTCTAAACAGTTATAATATCTTTTAAATAAAACATTAGTTAAATAATTCAAATAATATTTACACTTAACATATTTCTAAATTTATAAATAGTTTTGTTTATTTAGATGAATTATAGACATTATAAATATATTTATTTAGTATATAATATTTTGCTTGATTTCATAAAATTTATATATTTTATTATAAGTCTTTGAAATTAGCATCATTTTTTAATTTCTGCATATGTATGTTTAATCATAAAATGAACTATCCTTGACAGAACACAAAATACTTGAATGTGTAAAATAAAAAAAGTCAAATTTATTACTTTCAAGGTGTAAATTCATAAAATATAATAATTTAGAGTTGATTTAATATAATAAGAGATTTAAATGGCTCTAAATTCATGTACAAAAAATTCGTTAATTTAACGAAGTGATATTATTAATCTTGATACTACAGACTTTGAATGATGTATTCGCAAATTTTTACGTTTTTAAAAGGTTGTTAAACATATTATTGTAGTAGTTCGAAACTAGCTATAATTGTACAATTTTGGAGTATTATAGCGAAGTATAAATAATCTAACATTTTATATGTCGATAGTTTTTGATTGATTTACCAATCTTTCATATCAAGAATTATGCCTATCGATTATTCAAATTTTCCTAATAAAAAAAAAATCCATAAAATTCTCAAAAAGTTAAAGTAAAAGATATATTGTATTTTATTTAATGATATTGCAAACATATAGACGTTGGAAAGAGTCAACAAATTGCATTAAATTATTGATTGATCGCCAGTTGTAATAGCTATGGAAATTCTGGTATAATTGCATTGACATAGATAGCATCAATAATAAAAAAATGTTACATTTTTTTAATTGATTTGCGAGCATGTGAATTTTTCTTACAAAAAATTACTGAATTCTAAGAGTAGAATTATAATATTATAAAAACTGATTCTTTAAATTGTTTTGAGGGTGCCATTCCAGTTTTGGACACTCGTCTGTCCGTAAGAGTATCTGGATAATATTGTTATAGTAATATTTTCATTGTTTTAAATTGTTGCAATGAACAATTTTTAGTACTAAACATCTCCCACAAATTTATTTCGAAGATATCAGAACCACTTCTTTACAAATTATTTTAAATATGTTTCCTTATTTTCTTTAAACACAATTTAAAAAAAATAAAATTGTAAAAATTAAAGTTAAATAATGCCGCTCATAATAATTTATCTTTGGGATATTCGTAATATAAACGCGAAAATAAGCAACGATAATTATAATATAATGATGATAATATAATGATCTATTATTTAAATATAACTTTCTTGTAAAAGGAAAATGCTGCTAATAATGGATTCTTAAATAATACATTACTTGTGATTAGTAATATTAAATATATGATAATATATGTAATTACATTAATAATTTTACTCATCTTATATATTATATTTACAATTAATATTTTAACTTATAAATTGTTTTATTATTAAATACAATTAGTAATTTAAATATGTTATAATTATATAAGAATTTATATAAACAAATAAAAAAATTAATTTAAAAAATTTATTTGTAGGTCAACATATTAAATTGATGAAAGACTAAAAAAGTTTCACGCACTTATCAAAACTCATTAGATAATATGAAAATGAGCTGGAAATACTTAATATAATATTATTATATATGTTATTAAAAGTAATAAGTTCTTTCACATTATTAAAATTGCAGTTAATACACGCGTATAGTTTAGACAAGTTTTTTTATAAAAATACATATACTTAAATAATTGTATCTAAAATTTTCTCTTTTAATTAGAATTGTGAAAAATAAAATTAAAGTGGTGTCGAAGATGGGTTGTGCTATGTCTGCAGAAGAGAGAGCTGCGTTAGCTCGTAGCAAACAAATTGAAAAAAATTTAAAAGAAGATGGGATCCAAGCAGCAAAAGATATTAAGCTACTTTTATTAGGTGAGTCTAGATTCGTTTAATTAATTTTTATACAGTATATATTATATTCTGCATCTTTTATGTATTTGTTCAATGTATATGAAAGCGATACAGAATTATTGTCAGTACATTTTTACATCAATGCTGAACTATTATATTAAAATCGACTATAATATTAAAACCTGCGTGTTATATAAAATTCAATAAAATACCTTAATCCATCACTAGTATTTAGAATTTTCCACAGCGTCATAATTATAATTTATCTCATTTGAAATATAATAGAGTTTATATAATTCACATTGTTTATATTGTATTTTCTCAATCAGCAAATGAAATTTAGTATAACCATATTTTTTCATATATATGATTTTATGTATATATTTAAAAGTTGTTTAATATATTTTGATTTTATTAATGATAAATTTTTATAATATTAGATAATAAAAAAATTAATATCCTTTAAAATTTATTCTAAAAAATTTGTTAAATTGTAAGAAAAAATCGTGTATTTTATGATTTTCATTTTAGCTAAAAAATATCGTAAGCAAAAAAATCAATATTTTAATCGAATTGTTATTTATTATTTAAATTGTTATAACATTAATATTGTTCTTTAGCTTTTTAAAAGGATATGTAAGATGAAAGTTATAAATAAATGCGCTATCATAGCAAAATGTATTAATTTATGATATTGTATAAAAATGAAAAGTTATGAAACTATAAGATAAAATATATTGATTTAATCTTTCCTTGTTGTTAGATATTTTATGCACTATCTGCATACTTTTATACTTATTTTTATACAAATATGTGGATCTATTTATAAAAAAAATAACAAATTTGAAATACTATTTTAATTTCGTTATCTATCATTTCAGAATAACAATTATTTTTTATATATTTTGTAGGTGCTGGAGAATCTGGAAAAAGTACGATTGTTAAACAAATGAAGTAAGTTTTAATAGAAATTTTATTTCATAAATATTAAGGTTTCGTTATTTGTTATAATTTATACAAGAATCAATAGAAATTTCTCGAAAGAAAATTCTGATAATATATACGCTTATGAATTTTTCATTAATCAAAGTTGATATAGATAGAAAATTGAAAATAAAATTTAATATGACACATTTTAAACTTTAGCTTTTGATTAAATTAGTAAAATATTAATCAAAACATGAATTTGCATGAATTTTGTTAAATCAGAAAGCTTCTTAGGTAGAGTTTGGACTTCCAGCCACCAGTTTGATTGCAGATCACGGTGGGTGAACTAGACCGTACCACCGGTTTAATGGTGATGGGGGGGGGGGATGAGTGAGAGGTTAATGCATTAATTCAGAGTAAACACAATTGGCTTTAGTGACCTTTATTTAAGCGGTTGCTACAGTGGTGATTGGTGTTACTGATCTCAATGAGAATTGTTCAGCTCATCGTGACTAAACAGTTGACCATGAGCTATAGAACATCGTCCGGGAGTGCAAGGCTAAGAGCTGAGTTGGGACTACTGGGTACGCGTTTTAGTCCCTATTTTAAAGGAGCCTCTCCGGTTCGTGAATCCTTATGCAATTAATTCGGCAATGGTTTTCCGGAGAGCCTCGCGACATCTTTGGCAATTAAGTCGGCGATAGATTGTACGGAGCGTTGTCCGGCTCGAGAATTTAGTGGGGACTATCAAGGATTGTCGACGCCCTCTTTAGTGGTCTGATCAGAACCGAGTCGCAGAGGCGTGACTGATGATATCGTTGCTGTGCCGCAGTAATGAATGTTTGGCGGGGACTACCAGACAGTGTCGGCGCCCTTTTTAGCGGTCTGATAAAAATCAAGTTGCAAGGGATGACCGATAGTGTTGGCGCTGAGCCGCAAGAAATTATATGTAGTATTGATAAATTGCTGGAGATGCTAGTCTATGTCGTCGCTCTCAATGCGGTCTGACTATCGTCACGTTGCGGAGGCCGCACCGATAGCTTGGCCAGCAAAATAGAATAATCAATATAAAGAAATGAGTATACCTTGCACGGATTCCCTTAGACGAGTTTAACTTTCACTGATATGACTGTCACTAATTTCACTTGAATTACTCAACAAGACTGATTTTCTTCGTCGTCTGGTGCTTCTTATATATGATTGCATACATTTAGCGTCGTAATTCTTGGAAGCTCTTGTAAATTCTCGGAAAGCAAGCTTTAGTAGATTCGAGTATCTTCCTTTGTTGCTATGCGGATATAGCACGAGACTTAAATTTATATCGAGAATTTTCGTAACGAATAAATCAAATATTACTCCTAAATATAGATATAATGTATCGGAATCATATTATAATAAACAATAAATTTTTTATTGTTGGGTGGTTTAATCCTGAACAGGTAGGTATTAATTTGAGTGTTTCTAATTTTCTTTTTTACACATAAAATGCCTTAATATTCAAATTAAATAATAATTGAATAATATTGAATTAAAAAAGTTACATATCATATTTGGTTAGATCTTAAATAATAAAATCATTTTGGTCCTCGGATAATTAAAATTTTTTTCTTTACAGAGTTCTCTTTGTCTCGCCAAAAAAATCAATTGTTTGTATTAATATGTAAGTTTTAACTGATGTAAATATTTTATTATTTTGAAAGATATCATGTAAATTTACATATTTTAATGGCTTATATAATTTGATGAATATATAATTCGCATTTCCATTGAATCTCAAAATATTATTCGAAAATTTCCGCGACCATGCAGCTGTAAAATGAATTCACAAACATTTTTTGAATGTATGCTATGGGATTGGATAAAAAGTCAAAGAAGAATTGAAAAATAATAAAAAGTTGTGTTAATTGTATAGGCAAACATTTTTCAAAAATTAAGTTATAAATAATGAGATTATAGAAGATACTGAATATTCAATTGCCACAATATGGAAAATTTGTACTAAATATTGAATAATATATATACCTTCAACTCCAGATTCATAACTTTCATATTATATATGCATTTATTTATTATTTTCTTTTATCTTTAATTGCGTATTCTATTTCAATAAAAGATTTAAAATTATGAAACATTTATAACTTATTTTAGAGTTAGGATTAGGTTAGGGAAGAATTATTATTTTTTTTTACAAACATATATATTTTACAAAAATATTTTAAAATGGATTCTTTATTATAATCGTTTTGGACAATATTTCTTAAACTTTAATTTTGAAATTTTTGATACATAAAAACTAAATTTAATATGATACATAATATTCAATTAATAATGTATTTATATATATATATATATATATATATATATATATATGTATAATTAAAAATACGATAGATATTTTTTTATGGATAACTATAAAATGTAAAAATTATTAATCATTTTTCCCATTAATAAATAATTTATCTAATTATCTATCAATAATTTAATAATATTTAATGAAGCTAAAATTAAATCTAATTTATGTACTTTATGTAATCTAATTTATGTCTCGATGTATTAAATAATTAAATATTTTGATATTATTTATTATAATTTTATGATACATAAGAGGATAAAAAGTGATGTAAAAATAATACCAAGGGTCGAACATAAAGAGGGAAAGAAAGATAAAAAGATATACTATTATCAAATTAAGAATTTGGCCTCGTGTTGTAAAAAAATTTTTCTTAAGTGCTTACACGGTCTTGCAACTTAGAAACTTAATGAAATTATTATAGTTATGGATTAGAATAATTGAATTAATATAAGTACCATCTTTAAGAATGTTTTTCTTTCTTTCATTCATATTCCTAAAAACAATATTCATCTTCTGCCTATTTTTACTTTCCAATACCTTTACGTACGCTACAGATCTTCAATATATTTTTATATTTGGAACATATATAATGAAAACATTTACTATATTAATATGCTTATTATTTATTTTTAGTAGAAATCACAAATATAATTATGTCCTTATTGGATGGATATCTTCAAATTACAGCACATTTAATCGTAAATCTTATCCCATGTTTTAAGAGACATTTATGTTTTATCGATAAATTCATTCACATGTTCTAGTATATAATAATAATTTTATTTCGTTCTTTTTTTATGCTAATGCTACATAACAAATAATTAAGCCTTAATTTCACAAATGACATACCACAAATATTTAAGGCTTAATTTTTATGACTGTACTATCCATAAATATTATCACTTGTTTTATTATTGACATTTTTATCTATATGTAAATATAGTTAAGTTAATTTATCTTTTGAGAAGGATAATTGATACCTTAGTAGCAGAACAGAGCACACGAAGAAGCAATATTTACAGAAAACAATAGAGTATACTAAAGTAGAGTATACCGGAATACGAGGAGTGTAATATGGAACTTTAAGTTAGAAGATATATTTAAAACTTAGAAACATAGTATAAAGTTTCTGTTTAATCTTTTTAGTATATTCATAAAATAAATCCAATTTAGCCCTTTCAATTGCAATTGTAAATAAAATTATGTTGACTTACCATATTCACATAATCATTAATCTTTATCATTTATCTATAGTTGAATTAATATTTAGTTTCCACATACATGTTAAGACTTTCAACATTAATATAATATGTGCTTTAATTAACATTATTATTTATTGAGAATTTACATATGAAAAAATTATATTTAATACTCAAAATATTTTATTACTAGTATGAATAATTAGGTACATGTGTAGATAATATCATTAATACTTTAAATATCAGTATTATCATAATAATAGATAATCAAATACAATTATTATCACATAAATTTGTACGTTTGTATAAATTGTATCCAATTGTCTTTTTACATTACATCTATTATACATTACATATTTCAGAATCATTCATGAAAGTGGCTTTACACCAGAAGATTTTAAACAGTATAGACCTGTTGTATACAGTAATACCATACAATCTTTAGTTGCTATTTTAAAAGCGATGCCTAGTTTAGGCATCATTTTTGCTGCTAATGAGAGAGAAGTAAGTAATCTATACAAACACTAATTTTTCAACTTTTCTCCGTTTATTTTATTTTATTGTAAATATTTGAATATTAATCATATAATTTGAAATTTGATTTATTGTATAATATGAGTATTAAAATATTATTTAATTATTTTACATAACGGAATCACAATCGCGTTTAAAATGAATAAAATATTGGAAAGTTGTTTTTAGCTTGGCAAAGATAGCAAAGCGTAGCATATTTATGCATGCATACATGTTGTATTGAACAAAAGAAAGTTATAACAATCATCCTATTTATTATAAAAAAAAAATGCAAAAACAAAAGAAATTGTTTATCATATATTATAAATATAAATATTTTGACTCAGACAAAAGACGAATGCTTAGAAATGTAAAAATGTGATTAATGAATGGGTTAGGAAAACAAAAAGGAAAAATGCATCAATGGAATAGTAATATGAAGATATAAAACAATATTTTAAAATTGAAAATAAAATAAAAATTAAAAGAATAAGAAAATGGTGACAAGAGAAGACAAAGAGCAATACATTATTGTCTGGGATCAGACTAAAAACCTCCTTATGATGGTGGGTGGAGGCTTACTGGCAAGTGGAAGGGGCAATGCAATTATTCAATACTGTCCTTTGTGTTTGTAGTCGTTACTTTTATTAATGTAATAAGTAATGAGTAATTAATAATCTATTAATTATTAGAATGAGTGTATGATATAGTGAATATATTAGTGTTTCTTCAGTAGTAGTGATGACGATGGGTCTACGTGTGTTCTTGATAGCCTGAAGCGTGATTCCCCTTCTTCTTAGATTTAGTAGTCGTAGTGGGGAACTCGTGGTGATAGGGAAAACAAGTTAGTGCCGTTTTGGCAGCCGGCGAAGGGTGAGCTGTAGTGTACGAAGTGGTGGGAGAACGTCCGTGTGACGTCACAGCTTGTGTCCGTGAGCTCCAAGGTAGTGGTGATGTTGGTGCATGTTCGTGTACTCGATGCGAGTGTAACTCGCAGTGTACAGGTAAAGGTAAGAACTAGCGTCGGCGTTACTTACACGTGGTGGCGGGAACTGTGTGATGAGGTAGCATTAACCGCGTGACGAGGTAATATGCAAGAACGAGAGCCGGCGTTACTTGCATGTGGTCGCGGGAACTGTGTTATGAGCAGAGTGGCGATCCTGTCGTGCTGGGTGCTTGTAACTAGAAGAAGGAATCGCGGCGCGTGCAGCTCCTTAAATATTCTCGGACGAAATCGATGCGCCGATAGCGCATCGGTGGCTGTTATTATGCCGCTATTTTTCGTGACGTTAATAGCGCATAGCTTTGTCGGGATATATTTGTTAATATTTCTCGGAATTATAGTCGTATGTTCGAGTTTTTCGGTTAGAAGCATTCGTTGAGTCCGTTGGCCAATGTTTACCAAACAATGCTGCATGCGCTCATACCTCTCCCACTTTGTATTCCGCTTAAAATTGTTGTAATCCGTAATAATTATAGACATTTAATTATTTTAGATAGATAGAAATTGAGAAAGACAAAGTCCTAGTGTTTAAATATTATGTCAGCTAAAAGAAAAGTTGATTTCCTTGTGTTCAGGATTAGAGCACTTTTCAAGACCTCTGGCTCTCGGAAATTTATAATTCTTCTAGCCTTTGAATTTTTGTAAAAATTTGATTACGAGTAGTCACGAATATTCCAAAGCCTTACTTTCGAACGTTCTATAATGGTTATTTGGTCTTTGCATTAGCAACGTCGTTTGGAATTCTTTAACCTGTCTAATGCTTTGGTTTCTCGGAGTTTTCGAACATCTGCAAGTTGGTCTAGTATCTGCATAGCAACACCTATCCATTGTTGACAGTTAACTAAACTATCGCGTAGATATTTAAAGCAAGCACGCGAGGAGCCTCGTTCTCCCAATAAACCTCTCTTAGTGAAGACGCCATGGTACGGATCACAGTTTGACTTAACAGGACCGCCATGGAACGAACATGCCTTCAGTTTTGTGTGCTTGTAGGCACTCACTGTAATTAAATAATTCAGCCAGAGCTTACAGCTATAAGCTCGTCAATCAGTAATCCTAAAACAGTGAAGCCATTATAAATAATACACGTTTAATTCGGAACAATTAACAAGCGGTCAAGGGTGCTGACTACATTACAAGCACGTACACGATTACAAGAAGCGCAATATCAAGGCATTTATCACAGGATCAGGCAAGGCAACTCCATCGTTGTGAGTACCACTTGCATCTAATACAGATGTAACAAAAGGCCAACAAGGCCATTCTACGAATAATGCGTTTAGCACAAGGCCAACAAGCCCTTTCCAGTGAGGAGACTTCAATAAGTTACCATCACGTGGCACTACACGAAGAAGTACCAGAGGTTTACGACCTGTTACTTCTCAGTGTAATAATTTACCACGTAGTGCACTACGTCAAGAGGATCCGGAGATTTACGACCTCCTAACTCTGCATGTAATGCATGCAAACGCCATGTGGCAATCATCACGGAGCTGCAAGATCTCACCGATTCTCATCGTCATCTTACAATCATTATTGTGCAGTTTCTAAAATAAAAGACAATAAACAGCACGAAAAGCAAATGTGTTAAATATTGAATTAATGTACTATCCCTTCCACTTGCCCGCACATTTTCCTGCCACTAGACAACTGTTGGCCATAGTCCAATCAAATCATCTTGGCCCTTCGACCACCGGATGACTGGAATTCCAAACAAAGTGTATTTAACAAAAAATATTTCGGAAAATAGTATTATAGAATAGCGTATTATCATCCTACTTTTATTATTGTAAAATGTAGGGAATTTATAGTATCTTAAAAATGTGCATAGCTACCTACTTATACATATATAGAGATTATATACACTTGAAAGGAATTTGTTGTTACTTTATTAAATTAAGAACCACCTATTACAAACTAGACAATAATTCTGTTCTCAGCTTTTTGTAGTAAGATACTTGTGTTGGTTTTAAAATTATACTGACTGTCTTCTATAAAACTACTCTGGTATTATTTATTTTCGTATAAATAACGTATTAATATATTTACAAAAGTAAAATATATAAAAAGATTTAGTAATTAGTAATTATTTAGTAAAAATTTAGTAATTAGAATTACATGATACATAACTACTTTATGCTTTATAATAAAACTTATGACGAATAAAAAAAGGAAAAAATTTCTTATACATAATAATATAAAGATAACATTTTAAACATTAAAAATCTCACTTTTCTTAATAAAAATATAGTTTTAATGATTTTTATAATTTTTTTATTTTCTTTTAATTTTTGTATAGTAAAGTACGTCAAACAATTATGCCAAATAAATAAAGTATCTTAAGCAATGACTTTATAGTTGTAATTTGTAATTATTTATATTAAAAAAAAATAAAAAATTATAAAATATACGAGTTCATTTAGTGAATATATTTAATTTTAATATAAGAATTATTTTAGACAGATGCCAAAATGGTATTCGATGTTATTCAGAGAATGGAAGACACAGAACCATTTAGCGAAGAATTATTATCAGCAATGAAAAGACTTTGGTCAGATACAGGAGTACAAGACTGTTTTGGAAGAAGCAATGAGTATCAATTGAATGATTCTGCAAAATAGTAAGTTTTTTTTAATAGGCTTATAAAAATGAATAAATTTTATATATAAATTCTGAGTTATTAATTTTTATAGCTTTAATTTAGTATTCATTTATTATTATATCTTGTGAAAAAATTTTTTTTAATTATTTTTGCAAGTTTTATTACGTACAATTTTCAAGTTTACAATGTTTACATATTTAAAGTAAAAATATTATAACAAGCATGAAAATAAGAATGGATTTGACAAATTTTTTGCATTTTGTAAGCAATACAAATTGAAGTATTTGAAAGCAATGTACTATTATGATTAGACTTTGGCTTTCAGAAAGGCACTAGACTTTTAGCTATGAGAATTTGTAAAGATACGATTCCGAGAATTCTCGAATATTTCGAAGCCTTACTGTCAAATGTCCTTCAATGTTTATCGTCTTGCTTTTTTTGGAGTTCTTGAGCTTTAGTTTCGCTTGTTATGTAAGATTCCCACATAGCAACATCTACGCATTTTTGCCAGCTAAGTAAGTTGCCGCGCGGATATTTAAAGGAAGCACACCACGCTTAGGCGTTCATTGTATTTTAGTCAGTAAGTCAGATTATCAATCATTACGCTATTCAGCCAGTGCTTTCTACCATACACTAGTGACTCAGTTACATTCACGCAATGAAGCCATCCCAAGGAATAAACATTTAATTATCAAGCGCGCTACAATTTACAGGCAGTCAAGGGTATTGACTGCATTATGAGAAACTATACGGCTACAAGAAGCACAATTTGCAGGTATTCCTTACAAGCATTTAGTCGCCATACGTCGTTCCCGGAGTCTGTGTATATTCCTGCTAATATTTGCAATATTAGCAGAAGTCACGTGATCCCTACAAGATTAGCATCAACATCGTCACCATCAAGGAGTAACCGCATTATTGCGAAAAGACAAGGTCAAAGCTCTCCTATGAGAACTAAATACAGTGCGTTACTAATGTAATTGTTAATAAACCATATGTTAACGAAATCTGCGCATCTACATGTCCTTCCACTTAACTCCTTCCCAAGCATCTGCTAAGGTGGGCAGCATTTAAATAAAAAATGTTCCTAATCTGAATAAAAAATATGCACCTAAATTAAGAATTTCATAAATTTAAAAGCTCTTCATTAGATCCAGACGAAAATTAAAGAATTGAAAAGTTTTAAACACCAGATAGTTTTATATATTATAGATATTATATAATAAATATTACATTTATATTTGCGGTCTGATGTTTTTGATTCAGCCTCCTTTCAATATTTAGGAAAACAATTAATTTGTAAATCTTATACAATTAAGTGATAACATAACTTCAAAGCTATTACTAAGTAAATGAGAAATAAATTAAGTACAACGTACTTCTTCATCGCTTTTATTTATCATAAAAGCACTTTTATCGTATGTAGTAGAACTTTGAATTTTATTCGAAAAATTTCCACAAACTTATAAATAAGTATTTCTTTATTTAATTGTATTTTGATTAGCAAATGATCAATTGATCATCAATTGATTGTTGGTATTTTATTTTTTATCGCTTTTTATAGAAATTTAAAATTATAGATCGCAAGATGATAATTCTTATAGTCATATAGATTTTATGAAAAGTAATTCTAAAAAAATGATGAAAGTGTAACTTTAAGAATTTATAAATAAAATTTTGAGATGAATCCAATTTAAAAATAAATTTTGTATGCAACATATGCAATTTACTAATTACTAAAATGAATTTATATCATAAAAATTTAATAATAAAAATCGAAGGTGTGATTTAGAAAATTGACAATTAATATATCTCTGGAAAAGTCAATACTCAATTACTTTTTGATTATTTGAGATGAAAAATCAAGTTTAGGGTACGAATATTCTTTATTATCAAATTATTAAAATGATTTATATGTAAAATCATTTCTATAAATGAATTTTAAGTGTTCATATATTATTTATTATGATGGAAATCGTATATATCTTGCCGTTCCTTGATTACTGTCACGTGGTAGTTACTAGCACTACATGTAGAGGTAGGAGGTCGTAAATATCCAGATCCTTTTGATCTGGAGCATGCACAACACTTCTTCGTGCAGTGACACGTGGTGGTAGCTCGAGTTTGTACCATTAGTCGTTCTACAGATTGTGTGCGCTTGGTTGCTTTGCAGGTTGTGTGTGTGCAATGCACCTTGTATTTATATAGCTTTCCTTAGTAGGAAGCTGAACATGTACATTGTAGGTTCTGCAAATCTTAATGCACTTGGTGGAATCTAGTAGTTGCCTGCAGATTGCTGCATTTGCGGTAACTAGTAGTAATTTCTGTTTTGTAGGAAACTGAGTTCATACTTGTAGTTTCTGCGGATTGTTGTGCTTGGTCGCTCTGCAGATGTTGCCTCGTGCGGTTCCTTGTAAGTTAATTCTTCTTAGTAGGAACTGAACATATATCTTGTAGGTTCTGCAAATCTTCATGCGTTTGGTGGCATCTTAGTAGTTTTCTGCAGATTGTTGTCTTGTACGGTTCCTTGTAGTTTCTTATTTCCTTCCCTTGGCTCTGCTGATAGTGTGTGTAGTGCACCTATCTTGCACTTATTATGGGAAGGGCATGGATAGTCCTTTGACTCTTTTTTCTTTGGCGTCTCCACTGTTAGAGAGTGCGTCCGTGTTTCTTGGTGTTCCTTGTAAGAAAAGCGTCTGTTTCTCGTTTCTGTCTCCCTTAAGAGCGCTTCCTTGTCCACCGCGTGATCATTTACTAATTACCTCTTTCTTGGCGGCTCCAATCAGAGTGCCTCTTGCATTGTTGGTGGCTCTAATCAGAGCGTTTTATACTGTTGCGTCTTCACTTAGGAGGAAACTTATTGAAGCGTTCTTGCTTTACTATCCAATCTTACAAGGTAGCTCGATTTGACAACAGCGTCTGCAATTGTGTACCGTTAGAATGTAAAATTTGCTTGTAACGACTTGGGTTTGCCAGATGTTTTATAACTTAAGTTTTCCAGAAGTCTTAATGACTTGGGTTTGCCAGATGTTTTCCGACTTGGGAGGGATTCTTGAAATTTCGAGCAGAATCTAATTATGAGCTTCCTGAATCTATGGAAAATATTTCTAGTTTCCGAGACTTCAGAAACTAGTGCAATAAATAATTAATTTCCAGTGTTTAGCATAAAAAGTAAAGATTTAAAAATATATTTCAAAAAATATAATCAACTGCTTAAGACGATAAGTATTTATATGATTTTTGAAAATATACCAACAAAGTTGACAGTTATACAATAAAGAATTTAAGGAGGTGATGTTCAATATTAATGTGTATTACTCGCAGAATTTTTATTGAAGGATAAAATAAATTAAATGAAATATATTCTTATATCTATATCTAATTGGTCTTGTGATTGTCGAAGAGGCGGTTTTTAGTGTTACCACTCTAGTCAGTCCATCTTTTCCAGGGTGCAGTTTCATGACTGGCGAGTGGCCACTTGCATGGTGCTTGTCGTTGTTCTGTGATGAGGACTAGCCGTCCAACTTTGAACATTGCTTCCAGAACTGTTGGACTTATTGTTGTATGAATTGCCACTTTGAAATTATCGATATGTTTGAATCGCTTGCTGATGGGTCTGGTAGGGTGTTGAGGGATTCTCTTATGAGAAAGTGGCCTGAAGTGAGAGCAGTCGTCAGGGTTGTCCGTCAATGCTTGTATTGGGCGTGAGTTCAGGATGGCCTCTATCTGGGTTAATAGCGTAGTGATTTCTTTAATGGTGAATGATGCATCTCTTGTTGTTCGATTGATATGGAACTTGATGGATTTCACTGAGGCTTCCCATTTTCCTCCTATGTAGGGGCTGCAGGTGGATTCAATTCTCATCGTGCATGGTCTTCCATGAGTGTGGTTGTGATGTGATAGTATTCCTTCGTACGTTGAATGAAAAGTTTTCTCAATTTCTTGTCAGCTCCGATGAACGTTGTTCCGCAGTCAGAGTGCATGACCTGTGGGATGCCTCTGCGACTTGAAAATCTTCGGTATGCTGCAATGAATCCCTTTGCTGAGTAATCACCTACAACTTCAATATGCACTGCTGAGGTCGCGAGGCACACAAATCCACAAATCTAGGCCTTATAAGTTTTTGCGTTAATAGTTTTTGCCTTATAAGATGGCGTTACTCTCGAGGAGGGCAATTGTCCCATTAGTTGGCTGGCGCGAATTCCTCTTTGTTTTGCACAAGTAACGCATCGTACAATGTGTGATTTTACAGCTCATCGTCCTCCAATGATCCAGTAATGTTGTCGAGTGTATGAAAGTGTAATTTGGGTGCCTCCATGGAGTGTTCTTAGATGTACTTGTTCGATTATGAGGTTCGTGAGTTGCGATTGTCTCGGGAGAATGGCTGGGTGTTTTTTGTTTTCTGATATTGACGCATTCATTAGTCGTTCATCGACTCTTATGATTCAGTGTGCCTCGATGTAGGCAGTGAGTCGATGGGACGCGCGTGATGGGGATAGTCCTGTTGTTTGCATTGCTCGAAATTCTTGGAAAAGGTATGTTTTTTGAGTCAGTCTTATCCACTGTATTCTTGCCTGATTTAATTCAGCGTGTGTCAGCTGATTTGTTGAAGGGCGTTTTCCCTTTAAGCATGCGATGAATCTAATGCATGTTGCAGTTATTCTCAGTAGCTCATTCAGTGTTGTTCAGTTTCCATGTCCTGTTCTTTCATCCTGTTCATTCCACATCCTGTTCAGTGTCCACACAATAGTCGTAAATAATGTCCCAGTCGTAGTCTGATTCCTTGATAGTGGCGATTAACGAGATGCTTGGACGGGCTTCCTGGTTGCATTGATCCTCTCTGTCAATTGGTTGTGTTGGCCACGAGTCTGGAGTTAGTGTCCATGGAGTTTTGATAATAGTAACGCGGCTACTAGTTCTAATTTTGGTATTGTTAGTTTTTTGAGTGGGGCTACTCTTGTCTTTGAACAAATGAATGCGAAATTCGGTACCTTGTTTTCATTGTTATTGCCATGTAGATGACGGCAGCCATTGCTAATTGTCCATGCAGTTCTATGTTGGATGATTCCTTCGTTTTGAATCATCGAGGTATGGTTATTTCATTTAGTGTTTATAGTTCTCTCCTAATGGTATACTATCGGTTGATTACTTGATTTGGGAGAGGGTCATCCCATCTGATTGTGTGGAGCCAAAGTTCTTGAAGTAGTATCTTGGCTCGTATTACTACTGGAGACGCGAATCCCAATGGATCAAATATTTTTGCAATGTCAGAGAGAATGGTGCGTTCTGAGAAGGTGGTTGCTTGGGAAGCCAATGATGTTGAAAATGAGAAGATGTCTTCGTGAGGCCTCCATTGTAGTCCTAGAATTTTGGTGGTATTTTCGGTTAAGTTTACTGACTGTTCCGGATTCGGTGGTGCCTTAATGGCGGTGATTACTTCTTCGTTGGTGGAGTGCCATTTTGCCAATGTGAATCCCCCCCCCATGCAGAGGTCCCTTAATTGTGTTGCTGTCTCCACTAATTGGCTTAAATTTCCGCACCTCCAAAGATGTCGTCCACGTATCTTCAGTATTTGATAGGGGGTACAGAGAGTGGGTAATTGTCTCCTTTGTCCTGTATAAGTTGAAGGAGTGTTCGTACAGCTGGGAATGGGGCCGCTATGGTCCCATATGTAACAGTGGTTAATTGATAAACGACTTCGTTGCCCTGTTCGTCTATCCACAGGATTCGCTGTAGGTCCCAGTCCTCTTGATGGACCAATATTTGTCTGTACATCTTTGTGATGTCTGAGGAAAATAAGTACCTGTGTTTGCGTATCCAAATTAGTAGATCTATAATGTCTAGATTTAGGTTGGCGCCAGTGTGCATTATGTCATTTAGTGATCGTCCTGTTGATGATGGGTGTTCGATTTTAAAGGTTTAATTTATGGCTCGAACTGCTAATTCAATAGTTCAGTGGATTAGTCTCTCGGTTTATTAGTTTATTACTTAAGTTTATTATTGTAAATAATTAAAAATAATATTGCACTGTCGTGTAGAGAGAGATAATTTTATTGAAGTAACGTATGATGTTTAATGGAATTTATTAAGTAATCAACTCTATCTTTATTATTTGAGGGGAGCTGTAGAAGAGCTAGTCACACGTAAGAGTGATTAATGGTAAGATTTCGAACTATTGAAGGATGTAATAATTTGTATTTATAGTCTAGTAGTCGATCTGTTGTTGTCCTTTTGTGACAATGTGCTTAAGGCATAGCGACTCTTGCGTCAGCTGTTGATGGCCTGTAGTTCTTCGAAATAGCGTAAGTGTGCCCGACTTGTTGTGTGCGAGGTGTGACTAACTAATTTATTAATATAAAAATATGTACCTTGTAGAATGCAGGCAACGTGTATTACTGCTGCGTAATTGATATCCCCTTTGATTACTATTCCATTGGCTTCACTGTAATCTTTATTTAATTTGCCAATTTCTTGTTCTTATGCACGCGTATATTCTTAACTATTCTGTCGAATATATGGCCACGCGTCGTCTTCACAGTATACAAAAACACTGAGCGGCAGATACACTTGAGTGAGCAAGAAGTGATATTACAAATGAGTATCGTCACATGGCGAGCTGCGCTTATATAAGCATGCAGCGGCTGCAGCGCCGGCAACAGTGCCGAAGCGAGTCTTTTCCAGAAAATTCCTTGTGGCATGAGAAAACGGAGCTTCTAGAAGTTTCGTAGGCGTCCCTTTTTTGTGAGAGCTGGTAGTAAATTATATTTCATGTCGTAAACTTGCTCGGACTTGCCGAGTTTTGTTTGTAAACATTTACTCAAGTGCTCGTCCCGGTCCGCACGTCCGGGCCAGTCTAGGCGCACATGCTGTACGCCGAACAGAGCGGATGACCTTTCTTTTGTTTGAAATTCATGGGACTGCATTAATCCCGAACATTCCGCCCGCCATCACCAACTGTACTGATGATGAACTTTATCTTTCGGGAATTGGTAGCACAGCAAGTTTATGGATCGGCCTTGACATTGTAGCGGAGGCCGTCTTTATGGTTACGACTCTGGTCAGTCCATCTCCACCGGGATGTATTTTTTGTACTCGAGCGAGTGGCCACTTACTAGAAGGTAATATTTCATCGCTAATGAGCACAATAGAGCCTTCCTTGATGTCATTCTGTGGATGGTGCCATTTTGATATGGATTGCTGTCGTTGCAGATAGTAAGTCGACCAGAGAGATCAGAACTGTTGTACGCGTTGTTGAATGTATTGCCAACGCGACAGTCTTGACATGTGTGTTTCCTTGAATTATGGTTCAGGAAGGGCAGTGAGTGGGCCTCCTGTTAGAAAGTGTCCAGGGTTGAGTGCGGTAGTATCTTCTGAATCGTCACTTAATGGTTCTAAGGGTCTAGAATTAAGAATGGCTTCGATTTGTGAAAGTAGCGTAGTAAGCTCTTCGAAGGTCAGCAAGGTTTCTCTTAGGGTGCGTCGCATGTCGAATTCTTCTATCATTGTGTTCTTCGTGAAGTACTCGTGCGAGACACGTGTGTGTTGGAATCGATCTCAGTTGTATTGATGGTACGTAAGAGCGTGTGTAATAGCATAATTTACGTGCGTGTTGGAGTCGATCTCAGTAGTAGTAGTAAGCCGAATGAGCTTAGCTTACTTATGATGTGGAGTCGATCTCTGAAGTGTTAGTAGGCCGAATGAGCTTGGCTTACGTATGATGTGGAGTCGATATCTGTAGTGTTGGCTGGAGCCGAACTGAAGAATAGCGATTCTATCGTGATGAATGCTTGGTTGAACTAGTAAGAGAGCGAGAGCGTCAAGCGCGTCTCCTTAAATATCCTAGTACAGGCTTGCGAATCCGGTGATTGCTGGATCACTCTTGTCATGCCGATTGTTAGAGTGACATCACTAGAGTCTAGCCTTGGGGAGTTCGTCGGCCTTGTTAGTCGGAATTGTAATGTAATATTCGAATATTTTGCGTAGTGAAGTTTCCCGATTTTACAGAATTGTGTTTATGACTCAGCGCGCATATGTTTCTAACTAAACACAGGTGTCTTTACCTCTCCCACTTTGTATACCACTTAAAACTGCTGTAATCCGTAACAGTATGTTAAATAATACTTATGGTGTTATAATACAAATTATCATTTAATTTATTAACTTTATAATAATTAATCAATTGTATTTTTTTCATAATACAATTTTCCATTGATACATATGTTTTGCCCTTCGTGGTAAATAATTTAATTTACTTTTGAATATTTTTTAAGAATTTGGTTATAGTCTTTAATATATTTTTATTCTATGCATGTATATTAACATCACTTTTAAAAATTATTTTAGTTTAAGGCTAGTGAAGTTTATAATTTCCATATAGATGATTAATTTTTAATATTCTATCAAAACAATAAATTACATATTTATTGAAGTAGATTAGTTATATGGTAATTCTATCAAGAACAATGATTTTGCAATGGAAATATATTAAATCAAGGTTCTTACAATTAAATTATAATTATAAATAACAATTTATTACAAAAAATAAAATAATAATTTTAAGAAGCCCTTGTAATGACAAAGATACTTTTAAAAATATCAAAATCTGTTACAAAAAAAATTTTAAATTAATATTAAATAAAATTAATATTAATAAATTTGGTCCAATTTTGCTTTTCTCTTGTTAATATATATTAATAGATTAAAAAGAATAAAAATATATAATATAGAATTTTGTAAAGTTTAGGCCATCAATTCAAAATTGTTATAATTGATTTAAAAATTTTTATCGATATAGAAACATTAAAAATATTTAATTGCATTTTTCTAGACATTATATACATACAATTAATTTTATATTTAATTTTGCAATAAAAATGTCAGAATACTTACTGATACAATATTGAAATATTCAATAACGTTAATTTTAATTAAATTTAGAATAATCGGGATAAAAGATATTTAATAAAAAAAACTTAAAAATTACTTTCGATAATATTTTAATTATTAAAATATATAAGTGTATGCAAGTTTTATAACGTTATGTTATTAATATATTCGAATTTTTATTTTTGTATTTTTATAATATTTTTATAATTTTTATATTTTATTATGAAAAATAAAATTTTTTTTTATATTTTAGTTTCCTTGATGATCTTGATCGGTTAGGAGCAAAAGAATATCAACCAACTGAACAAGATATACTTCGGACGCGGGTAAAAACAACGGGTATCGTTGAAGTACATTTTTCATTTAAGAATCTAAATTTTAAGTAAGTAATTTACAACATTTATAATATAAATTATAAACTATACATTTGGATATTATAAATTAAATATATAAGTTAATATTAAATAAATCATTTCATGAATATTAATGAAAATTTATTTTTAAATTTAAAACAAAAATATTATATTGCAAATAAATTAAATCTAAGTTTGCAGTTCCGAAAAAATATTGATTTATTTAGCAATAAATGACTATCCAATAAATGCCTATCGCGACATGTGCATTCACACTTTCTAGGCCCTACGAGGCTGGGTCTCTGATGACTAATATCTGTTGAGTGAATGTTTGGTAAAAATAAAGTTCTATATTTATCATATATATATTTATTATGAAAAAATTTATTATGAACATTAATGTTCGAGAATTGAGGTTCGTTTTGTGGCTCGAACTGCCAATTCGATAGTTTAGTATATTAGTTTCTCGCCGTAGCTATTAGGAGGAAAAAACACAAGTGGAAGGGCTGAAAATATGTATAATGTATATTCTTCAATTAAGACATTGTTTATTCTGGTTTATTAATAATTATAATATTGCAGTTTTATGATTGCTTCAAGTAAGAGAGAGAGAGAGAATTATTCTATTACTGTCGTGAGATTGCTTCTTCGAAGTGATGGCGATATCGCTCATGCTATGGAGATTAGTGTGAATATTGAATACTGGGTCTATGTTGATGTTGTAAAGATCAGCATGAGTCGACGATGCTCATCAATGAGCATGGGAAGCTGGTAATAGTAATCAGTAGTGCTTAGTAGGGAGAGTAATCATACTCAAAGGGAGAAAATACTGTAGTCTCTGTGGTAGTTGTTACGCAAATCGACCATACTCCAAAGGGAGTACGGGAGTATTAGAGAGCTAGTCACACGCAAGAACAATAAATGATAAGCCTTCAAGTACGGAAGGATTTGATAAAATGTAATTATAGTTGACTATTTGAAAAACTGTAATCTGCCCTTGACAATGTAATTAAACGTATTGGAGAGGTGAAGAACGTTCTCCGGTCTGGTCGGCCTGAGAGAGCGTGTTGCGTCACCTTTTTTGACAGACTTTATATGAAACGTTATTCGAGCGTGGATAACTAGCTTGTACAAATAATAAAAAGGATGTACCTTATGAACTACCGATAGGGTATGCTGTTTGGCAGCGTGGCTGGCGAACTTTATTGATTACAATTCCAATAGCGTCACTGTTAAATTACTAATTTGTTATTACAGATTCTGTTAATAATGCACGCATATATTATAGGCTGATTGCCAGGCATGCGGCTAAGTTTCATAGTCGTAATTGATAACTGATATTAGATAGATTGAAAATACACTGATTAATAATAACAGATGAGTGAGCGATTGATAGAATTGCAGTGAGCCATAACTAATGACTGAGTAGATGGTATAAACACCATAAGCCAGGTGTATCGCGAATGAGTAGATGTTAAAAGTACAGTGCATTGGTGCGTGGCGAGCTGCTCTTAAATATTCGCGTTGCAGCTTGCGACGTCGGCAACAATGCTTGTTGCTATACTGAAAATCTTAGTGACCTCAGAAAACGAAGCTCTGGAATATTCTAGCATAGAAGGACATAGCCTTGGAAGGTTCTAGAAGTTTCATCGACGTTGCTATGCGGAAATATTGTAGAATATTTGAAATTCAGACGTAGACTGTTCGATTTTTAGCGTTTTGTTTTTATGGCTCGAACTGCCATTTCAATAGTTCAGTGAATTAATCTCTCGCCATAATGAATTAAGAAAAAAGAAAGCACAAATGAAATGATAAAAGTGTAATGTAATATATTTTAATTCGATTATAAATTATTTTGCTTATAAAATTATAATATTGTAGTGTTGTTGGTTACTTCTATTGAGATAGAGAATTATTTAATTGTAGTAGTGTGAGTTGTTTCTTGTATTCTTAATTATCTGAATTTTTAATTGCAGTTCGTGAAGGTGCAAGTGACACTGATGTGAAATAACTGAATAGATGTTTAAAACGTATAGTGAATGATGATTGTAGACAGATGCTTTGAAGATTGAATAGTGCGCCCGTTATAATGACTGCGTAATTGTTAATAGACTTGACTAAGAAAGACTAACTGCTACGTGTAAAGCGCAGCCCTTAAATATTTATTATTGCTTGAAACGCCGGTGTTTTGTTACCGTGACGTCAACAGGGCATAGCCTGGAAAGTTCGCTGCTATTGCTTTGTTAAAATATCTGACTCGCGCGTTCATACCTCTCCCACTTTTGTATTCCGCTTTTCAACTGTTTCAATCCGTAACATAGACAATTTACGAATTAGTTAAATAATGTTTACAAACATGAGCGTCCGGGAACTTGTACTTTTCCCAATTTAAATTTTTCAAAACTGTTCCAATTCCCAAACAATTAATGAAGTTCATTTTTGTTTATAGATAAAAAAAGTTTTACTATTTTTTAATTATTGTTGTAAATGTTATTATTACATATAGTTGATAATTATTGAATTTATATAATATTTATAATGTAATCCATTCGCTAAAATTCTTACTTTTTAATACAATCGTTATTATTATAAGAATTATCATCATCGTCGTCGTTATTAGCACATAACCGTTATAAATGTTGTAATTATAATATTCAACATGACCGTCATGGTTATCGTTGTAAAAATCATTATTATTTTATTATTATCATTATCATCATAATCATCATTATCATCATAATAATTAGTCTTGTTTTTTATCATTTTTTTTATAGTTCTCTGAATTCATTTAAGCATCTTAAATTATATTAATAGCTATTATCCTTTCTGAATTTCTTCATTTGGAAACTCTACTCTCTTTAAAGTTTTTATCAATAAATTTTTATCATTACATACTGCTATGGAAACAAATTTTGTAAATTCATCTTTATAAGTTCCTATATCCCTAGTAAAATATTAATAAGTGGAATTATTAAGCTGAAGACAAATATGTTTCGTTATATTATATGGTATCCGATCTATTTTATTTAAGAGTTTTAGTTTATTTAGTTGATATTAACAATTTATATTATAATTTATTTAACTGAGTTTCAGAAACAAATATAAATAAGAATACTTAGTTGAGTTATAAAAAAAATATCAAAAGATAATTTAATTAGTGATAATGTAGTTTATAAATGAAAAAATAATATTAATTTATGTAATAAAATATAATCATCAAATAAATAATTTTTTATTATCATTAAAAAGTTTTTGAAAAGCCATTTAAATGTTGTAATTATTTATGTTAATTTTTGTTTAATTAATATAATAGAATTACAACATTTTTCTTAACAAATATAAAAGTATATTTGAAACGCGAATAAAAACCATATTTAAAAGAAAAAATCGATCAATGTGTAATATTAAATATACGGGAACTAAAATGCGAATAAAAAATTTCTATAAATTCGTTTAATGCGGAATAAAATTAGCTTTGATAGTGGACCAAAAATTATTTTGTTGGAATATATATTATTTAATATATAAAAAATTAATACATAAAATGTTTATATTAATAATTTTTATTTAACGTAGAAAAATTACTTTCTTAAAAATATTATAGATTGTAATATTTAGTTATCTTTTGTTCACATAAAAAGTTGCCTCAATTTATGTTATTTATTAATAATATTATGGAAAATCGCTGACTTTATCATATATTTATTAAATCGTAATATTAATATAAGTATAGAATATATCTAATCGAAATGTTTAAATTATACTTTATAGTACATTATATTCTGATTGAAAAAAAAAGTAATGTATAACATGTTTTATTGACTAAATTTTAATTTAATTTCAGATTATTTGATGTTGGTGGGCAGAGAAGTGAACGTAAAAAGTGGATTCATTGTTTTGAAGACGTCACGGCAATAATATTTTGTGTTGCAATGTCAGAATACGATCAAGTTTTACACGAAGATGAGACTACGGCATGTATACACATCTTACTGTTTATAATTATATTACTTTAATAAAGTTAGATTATAATTTTCGAAAATATACATACTTTGATAGAGGCTAAACTAGATAGTAACTATCTGAGATATACAGTAATTCAAGTTTTACAATTATTAATACTTAGCAAATTAGTCTAGCTTTAGAATAAATTTGCTGTTATAAATACAAAGATTAAATTTCCCTACTTGACGTATACTGGATTTTAATTTTGTAATAATTTTTTTATTATCCATTTAGATGTAAATATTTCTTCAATTAGTACTATTTTGGGATTACAAAAAATATTATATAATTGTAAATTTAAATTTTTCATACAATTTTTTATTTTTCAAAATTGTTTCGCTTCTTATCTCGTAATTGAGTTAATAATTCTATATTATTAGTGATAATAATCTGCATGTATTTTTTTTATATTTGGTTATATTTCCTTTTCGGTAATATTTCAATTATTGAATTTTGATTACTGTTTTCCTAAAGTTTTGTTTTGATTCATCAAGATTTTATTCTAAATCACGATTTAAAAAAATTATTCCGTTTTTGCCATTTCTTAGTTGCTTAGTAGACAATGATACTTTTTAGTAAGAAAATTGCAGTAAAAATATGCTTAATCAATATTATACCTTATATTTGATAGTAAATTATCGACTATTAATTATTCAGATTTAATCTGATGCAAAAAATAATTAAAATGTAAATTTTTTTAACAATGCACGTTATTAGGCCTATTAGACATATATATAATTAACTTAATATATATTGATTTTGATTTTAGTATTTAATGACAATACAATGTTCTAATTTTTAAATAATATTATTATTAACAACAAATTATGAATGATTTTTAATTTAATTTATTAGTTAATTTAAAGAATTCAGTTACTTCCCAAATTATTTAGTAGTTAGAAAGAAATGTTATTTTTAATGTTTTATTTATCGAATAAATTTGAAAATTAATTTAAAATTAAAATTTTAACATTTAAAATTATTTCGAGAATAAGACAATATTTTGCTCTATAATGACAGTACCATAAAATCTATTTGTAATGTAGTACATATTTTTACTAACACTACTCTTTTTGATAGCAAATTGTTTGAAAACTATTGTTTTATTTTTGTAGAAAAATAACGATTTAATGATAATTAAAAAAATATATTATTAGAAATTTATTAATCACCATACAAGAATCACCGATTGTGAAGGATCAATGATATCTCTCAAACTAGTTTCTTATAATTTTTTCTATTTTTACTAAGTAATTTATATTAGTATAAATTAATTAAATTTAATATGCATATTTTATAGAATTATATGATTTGAAGTTTTAGTCAGTTAATTTTGTACAGATATGTTTAAATTAAAGGTATCGTAATGACTTGCCGTATTCATGTAGTCAATATGTATGAAAAAAATTAAACTTTAAATTATGCAAAGTTGATGTATCCTGAAATTTGATAGAGAACTCTGTTCGAAAATGTAGTGATGTAATTCTTGGCTCGAACTGCCAATGCTTCAATAGTTTAGTTTGATACCTGCCCTAGCAGACGCCCGGGAAAACGTTAGGTGGAAGGGCTGTACAATAGTCGTGAGAGTTGGTTAATTATACATTTATTATACAATTTATTACACAATTTACAAATGGATGTTGTAGAATCTTCTTGAGTCTTATATGAAGATCCGATTTCTTGAACGGCTTCTTATATGGGAGGTGTCACTACACAAGGTGCCTTGAAATCGTTGAAATGATGTTGAATTACAATTGTACAGGTAAATAATACTTCTTGTCAGAGAGTGTGAGATAATGTTAATAGTAGTGTTGTGCCGGTTTTACCGCCGACTGGTAATAATTGAATAGATAACATGGATTTGTGCACTCACACTATCGTAGTCTTGATTTGATCCAGCAGTGAGTTGGTCACAATTGCACGCCGCAGAGCAAATGCGTGCGGCGTGACTTTTATACTCATAAGGATGCACTATTCTTGATCTGATCAACCGGTGAGTGGGACACAAATTATGTGCGGCGTGACTCTTATACTCACCAGCACGCACTATTCTTGATCTGATCAGCCGGTGAGAGGAACACAATTATGTGCGGCGTGACTCTTATACTCACCAGCACTATTCTTGCCTTAAAGTACTAGCACTTATTTCTGCGTTGAGTGAATTTGTTGGCTTGGTTTCCGTGAACAATTAATTTCTATTACTTGACCTTTCCCTAGACTGCTCACTCTCACTCTGTGTGATTTGTCTTTTTCGGAAGAAAGGCCCTTGGCTGCCCACGTGGACTGTGTGTTCTTGGTGTCCCCTGCGGACAGCCCTTTGGCTGCCCACGCGGACTGCGTATTCCAATAATCCCCTGCGAACAGCGACTTTTCGCTGTTTTGTTCCCATCTTTAAAGCCTCTTGCCATGAATCCCCACTCCAGGAGCTTCTGGTATTAGTTTTCCAATCAGGGCGCACCGCTTTTCGCTGGCATGATGAATGTGCACGCCCTTTTCCCACTTCATAAGAAATTAGGCTTAGACAATGAGAATATCGAAGGAGTATCTTTGGCGGCAATGCGTGAAGTGGAAGATTTGCCCCTCTCCGGGACTCATCGGGGTGGGGGTGATTTTTGGTCAAGCGTCTTCGCTTGGCGTATTCAAGCAGCAACATTTGTGGTACTTGACAGCAATGCATGCGTATGCCCTTGTGGCATTGAAGGCACACGTGCGACACAAATGTCGAGAGTCGCGCGTGCCGAGTTACGGGTTGCAACGGATTTTAAGAAATGTTTTTCATTCAACTGTTTTGAAATATTTTAATCCTCAAAATATACTCTTGTAAACAAGCTAGCAGGGCTTTGATGGTAAGACGCAAGAGTTTTCATTGCATTCAAAACAATTACTACGTCTTTAATACGAAAGGCACTAAATAGCTGTTTACGAGTTCACAGATGTACAAACCTTTTCGAGTCTCATGCAACCTTGGTGAGGCTTTCTTAGTTTTTCGTATCCGTTCGATAATTCCCTTTTTATTAGCTGTTGAAGGTTTTTCTAGTAAATATAATTCGAGAGATTTTCTTTTCACTCTTGAACAGTATAATTTTTTTAATTTTAGTTGATTATTCTGCATAATTCTTTTACTTCATGCTCCATTAATTTTCTATTAATTGGTTAAAATCAATTTTACATTTGGCAAAATACTTAAAAATTCTTGAATCCTATCTAATATTTTTTTTCTGCTTCCTTTATTTGTATTTATTCATTTTATCCAGAAATGAGTTAAGCTAATAAATGCTCATATCTATGCGAGATTAAAACTGTATGCAAATATATTATTATTGCCAAAATAGATTAAGATTTACATATTTTTCTAATAATTATACTTTAGTTCTAATAATTACTTCTTCATATAAGACTCAAGAAGATTCTACAACATCCATTTGTAAATTGTGTAATAAATTGTATAATAAATACAATTAACCAACTCTCACGACTCTTGTACAGCCCCTATATCTCACTCCTTCCCGAGCGTCTGCTAGGGCGGGCGGCAAACTAAGCTATTGAAGCATTGGCAGTTCGAGCCAAGAATTACATCACTACAAGTTACGAACATATACTAATTGTTATGGATTGAAACAGTTGAAAGCGGAATACAAAAGTGGGAGAGGCATGAGCTCCCGGACAGTTTGTTTATAAACACAAGCCATCGATTTCGAGAAATGTTTCTACGCTGAAAACTCGAATATACGGTTATAATTCCGAAAAATAATGCCAATGAACCTTCCAAGGCTATGCCCTATTGACGTCACGACAAATATCGGCATAGCAACAGACACACGATCGCTACCGGCGTCGCAAACTACCGCGAGAATATTTAAGGGCTGCGCTTTACATGCAGCGCTCAGTCTACTCTGTTAACAATTACGCAGTCATCATGACGGGCTCACTATTCAATCTTAAAGCTTCTCTCTACAGTCATCACTCACTATAGTGATACACGTACGTAATACTCAAACAGTAAGCAATCAAAGGGAGGTTTTTTAGTCTAATCGCAGACACTAATATATTACTAAAAAAATATTAAGTTCTAATGTAAAGTAATAAATGTTTTTATAATAATATTTTACAATTAAAATTACTGCAAGGAATTCGTTAGTGATAACTATTGAAAAAAAGTATAAGAAATTTAATGAAATTATGCTAAAAATATTTATTTTAAATGTAGAATTAGAGATGTGGTCAATATGTAAATGTGTAAATTTAGAAAAAATTCAATATTAAATGTTTATAATAATTGACGACATACTTAATCATAGTGTGCTTCTCAAATAAAAAAATTGAAGCGTATTATTATTGTGTAATCAAAAGAAGAAAAAAATTGGTAAATATTATCATCATAGTTATTTAGAATAACATTTGTTTACATATTTAAATTAAGTTAATGTCTAGTCCAAATATTTAATCCATCTTTTACAAAATAATAAATGTTTATAAAAGAATATTTGAAATAGAATATTAAATTTCTTTAAAATTTGCTTTAATTTCATCTTTCCAAATAAAATGATATAATAACTAAAACTTATAGTTTTTTATTTTTTTTTCAATGATATGACGATATAAAGTATTATTTTTTAGTTTGTGAATAATTATATAGTATTTGGAATGTTTTTATTAATATATTAACAGAGTAATGTTCATAAATTCAGTTTACTTTTAGACAGATATTAATGATACTTTTTAGATATGGTTCCTTGCCAAATTGCATTAAATAGTTTTTTTTTATATTAGAATCTCAATATTTTGCTTAGAAAAGAGTAGACATAAAAGCTTAAAGCATTCTTAAGGATTCAAGTGTTACTAAAATGCAAATTATTTCCATATGTAAAATAAGCTTAGGGATAGTATATTATAAAGGGTTGTGTATGTATGAAACACTCAAATTGTAATTTTAAAACTATCGTTAAGGTCCATTTGCCTTTTTAATATTGTCGTTAAATTTATTAACGTATAAAAGATGAAATTATATGTTTTAGATACAAAATATATGAGACTGAATTTGACATTATATAATTAAAGTAAATATCATAATATGAATTATTATTTAAATTTTTATGTTTTCCTATTTAAGTCCGATACGTTGTTGAGTCTTGCATGATTGAATGGACGTAATTAAAAAAATTATGGTAGTAAAAATCAATGTCTTTTTTCGTCTATATAAATTTTGACACACAAATAACAAGTCAACTTAACAGGCAGCGAGCTCATTCTTGTAACCAATTTTCATTCTCCTTTCTATTTAAAAAATTCAGTACTTATCGATTCTATAAGAGAAAAATATACATTTATATATATAAAAATAAATGTTTTTTTATAATCTTAATAAGTTATGAATTAGGGTAATGAAAATTTTGATTATTTCAGTTATTGCAATGAAAAGGTGGCACAACAATTGTTCAATAGCTTTATAATAATTTGTCACCTACCCTAGCGGATACTTGGGAAGGACTTAAGTGGAAGGGCTTTAGATTAATACTGTGTGCGCTTCTTCGTTAAATATATTTTATTATGATTTATATACAATTACATTATTGATGTGTTGGATTTATGGATGGAATGGTATATACTATGTTAAATCACGACGATTCAGTTGCTTGTAACTAATCCTGTAGTGAATAGTTAACCTACACGAGATGATCCATGATGATGGTGATGGTGTTGTTGTTGATCTTATAAGGACCAGCAACTAATTATGCACACTCCTTATTAGTACGTATGTTTTGTGATGTATTAATAATAGCATCATACTAATTTAATAAGGATTAGCAATGTTATGCATAGACTTTGTTTACTCACAGTGATACAGTAGTCTTGATCTGATCCTGTGATGAATGGTTCACCATCACGAATGCTCCTGGTTGATGGTGATGATTTATTGTTGATTTTCCAAGGATCAGCTGTGAATCGTGTCCATACCTTGATTTGGAGTATGTCTTGTTATATTTTTTGTAGTCAGGTATTTTCTTGATATGATGGAGATAGTGTCAACATCTTTATCTTGCAGCATAGGAGAATTTACGCCTATTTCTTCTATGGTGGCCTTTCTTTGAGAGCACTTGTTTTCTATGCCGTCTCCAGTAAGAGAGAGTATGATTGAGTGAATAGATCTTGAGTGGCTAGCTCGTGGGTGAATAGCGCCTGTCTCGTGGTGTTTTGAGAATTTCTATAATGTTTATCTAGTCTCTGCATAACAAAGACGGTTGGAATTCTCCAACCTTCCAAAGCTTACTTTCTTGGAATTTTCGAAACTTCGAAAACTTTAGTTTCAAAGTCCTGTAAAAATTTCTGCATAGCAACACTTGCCTATTGTTGCCAGATAACTAAACTCTCGCGTGGATATAAAACAAGCACGCAACAAGTCAAGTCTCGCTCTCTTACAGGGGACGCCGTACAAGTCTTACTTTGGCCACCTGTGAGGGAACACACTGGCAAACTCTGTATCTAGACGTCACTACAGTCTGTCATTGCATTCTGTATCAAGATGTCACTGCACGCTGTATCTAGATAAGTGTCACAACATTTACTACAAGCATTAAGGTATTGAACCATTTCACAATCTTTCCACACATTAAGAGAAGCAACCAAAACACCACTACGTGGCACTACACTAAAGGGTGTACAGAGATTTATGACCTCTCACTTCTCAGGTAGTAACTGACCACCGAGTGTACTGCATCAAAGGTACCCAGACATTTACGACCTCCTACCTCGACGTGTAGTGCATGCTACTACCACATGGAAACCACCTAAGAACGGCAAGATCTCAACGGTTCTCATCATCAACGTAGAATCATAACTGTGTAGTTGTAAAATAAAACTCAATAAAAAGCACGAAAAGCAATTATGTTGAATACTGTATTGCAGCATTAACCTCTCACTTATTCACACTGTTCCACCAGTAAAATGGTGAATATGATCTAATCCAACCATCTTGGTCCTTCGACTACCGAATGACTGGAATTCCGAACACCGGAAAAGCAAAGCTTCAGAAGGTTGGAGGATTGCGAGAAGCATAATGTTTACAAAATTCGAGAACTAGAAGACTTATAAATTTCCGAGAGCCAAAGGTCTTGGAAAATGCTCCAATTCCGAATAACAATATATATATTATATTTATATTTATTCGTAATTTCAATATGAAATTATATTAATAGTTAACATATGTTGGTTATAATTAAATATCTCTCGATAATTAAGTTACTAAAATAACATTGCAAAACATTATATCATAACTATATTTTATGTTTTCCACAGAATCGCATGCAAGAAAGTCTGAAGTTATTTGATTCCATTTGTAACAATAAATGGTTTACGGATACATCAATAATACTTTTTTTAAATAAAAAAGATTTATTTGAAGAAAAAATAAGAAAATCACCACTAACAATCTGTTTTGCAGAATATGCAGGTAAAAGTAATTATACAATTTTATAATTAGGAATTGCGTTGAAATAAATAAATAAAAATGAATAATTATCAATAACAAAATTTCCAATATATTGCAATCTATTTATTATTATATTTCATATAAAGCATAAATTGTATAATATTATATCTATTGATACAAAATATTATTATTAAATTATTCAATGCGTTGTGAATATTTAAAAATGAATTATACTAAAACAAACTGTAATTTAAATACCTAGTCGCAGAAATACATACAAAAAGAAATTTTTGATAAATAATTTAACAATAAATATTTCAACGAAAATTTACTGAAGTATAATTGTTTAAACTTTTTGACTATAGTCGTTACATCGTTAGCAGCTAACGATAAAATTGCTTACATAATGTAATAATGATAACTTTTTATTAAACAAACAGAGGTAAAAGTAATTTAAAAATTATTAAAATAAATCTTATAAATGCTGTAGAATTGAAGGTTAATATTTAATGTGCATTTTATTAGTTTGATAGTGGTTATATAATATTCGAATTAGTAAGAAAGTTCTTATTTATTTATAATTTAATAAATAAATGATTACAACACAGATTTTGATATTCGTTGATTAAAATATTGTATGAATTCAGCTATCTTAGTAGACGCTCGGGAAGGAGTGAGATGTAGGGGCTGTACAAGAGTCATAAGAGTTGGTTAATTATACATTTATTATACAATTTATTACACAATTTATATATGGGTGTTGTAGAATCATTTAAATCTTATAGGAAGATACGATTTCTTGAACGGCTTCTTATATAGGATGAATCACTACACAAGATGCTTTGAATTCGTTAAATTGATGAAAATTGCACAGGTAAATAATTACTGCACACTTCTTGTCTGAGAAAAGTGAGATAATGTTGATGGTTGTCTTATGCCGGTTCAGCCGGCGGCTGACAATAATTGAATAGATAAAGTGTATTAGCATACTCACAGCGATATCGTAGTTTAAATCTGATCCAGCGATGAGTTGGACACAATTGCACGCGGCAAAGCAACTGCGTGCGGCGTGACTCTTATACTCACAAGGATGCATTAATCTTGATCGGATTCGGCGGTGAGTTGGACACAATTGCGTGCGGCGTAACTCTTATACTCACCAGGATGCAGTAGTCTTGCTCTGAATTACTAACACTTTTTTCTGCATTCAGTGATTATTAGACTTGGCTTCTATGGACAATTAATTTCTATTACTTGACTTTTCTTAAGATAGCCCTAGACTGCCTACTCTAGCCTTTTCTTGACTTATCTCTGCGGACAGTGTCTTCCGCTTTCTTGGCCCTACTTTTAAGGTCTCTTGCCACGAGCCCCCACTCAAGGAGGCTCTGATCTTAGATTTCCAATCAGAGCGCGTTGATTTCCGAAATTATGCTAATTGTATACGCGTGCGGCGTGACTCTTATACTCACAAGGATGCAATAATCTTGATCCAATCCAGCGATGAGTTATGTGCAACGCCTAAAGTGGAAGTTTTGTCCTCTCTCCTGGTGTTACCGTGGTGGGGACTGATTCGTGGTAAAGTGTCTTTGCCTAGCCGATGAGAGCGGCAATATTTGACGTACATGACAACAATGCATAATATTCTGGTAAGCTTGTAGGTACACATGCGATGCAGATAGTCGAGCGTCATGCGTGCCGAGTTTTGGGTTGCAACGGATTTTAAGAAATGTTTTCATTCTACTGTTTAGAAATATTTTAATCCTTAAAATATACTCGTGTAAAACATCTAGTCGGGTTTTGATGTGAACTTGCAAGGGTCGTTTATTGCATTCAAAACAAATACTACGTCTGCAGGTCAAAAGGCCATAAATGGCTGTATACGAGTTCACAGATGTACAAACCTTTTCGAGTCTTATGCAAACTTGGCGAGACTTTCTTAGTTTTTTGTCCCCGTTCGATAATTCTCTTTTATCAGCTGTTGAAAGCTTTTCTAATAAATATAATTCGGTAGATTTTCTTTTCACTCTCGTACAGTATACAATCGAAATTAAAAATTTTGAAAAATTGGAACATTATTATAATTATTAATTTTTTTAATCAACATTAAAGTTCGGTAGAATTACAGTTATTAGATTATTATTATATGTCAATTTCATATTTATTTGATTTATTTTAATTTTTTTATAGGTGCACAAGAATATGGTGAAGCAGCAGCATATATCCAAGCCCAATTTGAAGCAAAAAATAAATCAACTACGAAAGAAATATACTGCCATATGACATGTGCTACAGATACAAACAACATACAATTCGTATTTGATGCAGTAACTGACGTGATAATTGCTAATAATCTACGTGGTTGCGGGCTTTATTAAATTTAATACATTAAATATACTAAAGAAAATAAAGTGATTATAACGTCCTAAATAATTACGTCTACTTTTCAACAAAATTTCGACTATTTTGTTTCATATTATAAGATGTATGATTTCTATGAGAATATTTCGAAAATTTCCAAAAGTGTTAGAATAAATTTTTTTTTTAAAGAATATATAAAAAATAATTTGAGTTGAGTTAAAATGACAAAGTCTATAACTATAGAAATTGTGTTTGTATTTCTTATCTAGACATTTTCTACCTCACTTAAACATACACATATCTAATAAACACAAAGTTTTATTAGAATTATTTAATGTCACTTTCTTAAAAATTTGTATTTGAGAGTAAATAAATTAAATATAAATGAATAAATTAAATTTAAATATATTTTGTGATTATTAATATAAAGTTTTTTTTCAAACTTCTAAATTTTAAGAAAGGTCACTGTACAAAGAAAAACAAAAATAAAAAAAAATATTAAAAATACAATATCAAAAACAATATAAGGAAAGGTAAGCAATTTAAATAAAATCTAAATGACGTCATTTAAACAATAATTTTTAACGATTGTAATAAGGATAATTTATAAAAAATGGAATATAGATTTTGATATTATAATTTATTATAAGTATTTTTTTATTATTATTACTACTTTCAAATTAAAGTATTTGTGAAAGTTAATTGAATTAATCATTTATTAAATTATATATTATTTTATTACCTTTAAAATAGTTAAGAAATTTAATTAAAACTATTATAATAAAAGAATTTAGTGATAGTAAAAATGAAAATATTCAACAAACCAAATTTGTAATCTTATTGTAATTAAATATAATAAATTTATCAGTTTATTTTAACATCTAAAATATCATGAAAGCACTAAAATACCATATTTGATATAATTAGTACGTTTTTCACAAAGCAATTTATATTTAAAAAATTAACAATGTTGGGATACATTTTATGTAGTAAAATATAAAATATCTCTATACATACTATATTTAAATTTTTTTATACAAAATTTGACAAAGAATTAATATTTTGTAGTGAATTTTTTGTAGCATATATATATAAATGGCATATATATATATATATATAAATTAATATAATATATTAAATGTTGCCAATCCTAATAATATTCTATATGTATAATATATTAATAATTAAAAATTTATATTAATAAATTATATTATAATAAATAGTAATTAATGAATTTTATTTAATATATACGGGAGAATATAATTTGACGTGAATGGAGGGAATAAATGAAATATGTATATATAATTTAAAAAAATAAAACGGACTACAGGATTAACCAAATTTTTAATTTTTTTATATTTCTTATTCATTTACAACTAATTATTTTAAATTCAGTTACAATACATTTTTATAATTAAATAGCGATTATATATATAAAATAAAAAAAATTTAATTTTTAAATGTGAATAAATGTGTTTAACATGTGAGTAACAGTGTAAGCATAATATAATCATAAATTGAGAGTCGTAATGAATCTCGTATTCGCTATTTTGTTGTATATTGGATAAGTATAATACTTTTTATAGATATATAATAAAGTATATAAAGTATATAAAGTATATAAATATATCATTTATACTTTAATGAGTCTTTTAGACTAACAATTTATTGCAAATACTTCTTGGAACTAATCATTAAACATAAAGTAAAAAGATCGAAATTCGTTCATATGTAGATTTCAATTAATTTATTTTTTTATAATTGTAGTAGAAGATAATATAGATATATATATATATATATATATATATATACAGGATGTATAAGACTGTAAAGTTTTACAAAAATATATTTCATTTCAAGAAATTTTTTTACTAATGTTTTATTATTAGTATATTTAATATAGTTCGGGATTGGAGCATTTCCTAAGAACTTTCAAATGGGAGAAATATAAGCCTTCTAACTCTTGTTTTTGTAAACACTGATTCTGTGAATTCTCGAACATTCTACGCCTTGTGTTCGAGAGTGAAAACAAAATCTCTCGAATTATATTTACTAGAAAAACTTTCAACAGCTGACAAAAGAGAATTATCGAACGGATACGAAAAACTAAGAAAGTCTCGCCAAGGTTGCATGAGACTCGAAAAGGTTTGTACATCTGTGAACTCGTAAACAGCCATTTATTGCCTTTCGTGCTACAGACGTAGTTATTGTTTTGTAAATGATTATAATAATATTGCACTTTGATGTAGAGAGAGATAATTCTATTGAAGTAATGAGGGTGTTTTCTTGTATTCTTGATTATTGAAGATTCTATGGATATTGCTGTGTCTTATAATTGAGGTTATGTCGATGATGTAAATATTAGCTGGTGTAGTCAATCAATCATGCTCGTAAGGTAGTATGAGACTATGGTAGTCGAATTAAGTATGCTTGATGTATGAATAACTATACTTGATATGGTGTAAGATGTTTAATGGAATTTATTAACTAATCATTTGTGTCTTTAATTATGCAAGGGGACAGTAGAAGAATCTAGTCACAGGTGAGAGTGATTAATGGTAAGATTTAACTATAATAAATAAGATTTCTAACTCGTGAAGGATTTAATAATCTGTATTTATAGTCTATTAGTCGATCTGTTGTTGTCCTTCTTTGACAATGTGTGTGAACCACAGTGACTCTTACGTCAGCTGTTGAGGGCCTGTACAAATGTCGAGGGTTAGTTCGAGAGAGCGTAAAAGTGCCCTCTTTGTGCTAGCGGGCCTGTACAAATGTCGAGCGTTAGTTCGAGAGAGCGTAAGTGTGCCTTCTTTCCTTCTTTGACAATGTGTGTGAACCACAGTGACTCTTACGTCAGCTGTTGAGGGCCTGTACAAATGTCGAGGGTTAGTTCGAGAGAGCGTAAGTGTGCTCTGGTTCTGCTAGCGGGCCTGTACGATGTCGAAGGATCAGTTCGAGAGAGCGTAAGTGTGCCCGCTCGACTTTAGCGCGAGATGTGACTTGTTTATTTATTAATATAAAGGTATACCTGGTAAACTTCAGGCAAGGTGTATTAGTTGCTGTGTAATTGATGTCCCCCTTGTTTACTATTCCATTGGCTTCACTGTAATCATTATGTAATCTGCCGATTTATTATTCTTATGCACGCGTGTATTCTTAACTCTGCTGCCTAAAATATGGCCACGCGTCGTCTTCACAGTATACAAAACACTGAGCGGCAGATACACTTGAGTGAGCGCGAAGTGATATTACAAATGAGCCCTTCGAATACGCACACGAACCGAAGGCTTGATCGTTCCGTGGCGGCTCTGCTGAAAATACCGACCGTTCCATGGCGGTCCTGCTGAGGGCAGATCGAGACCCGTGTGCCATGGCTTCTACTGGTAGACGGTTAGATCGGTTCACTATGGTCGGTGTCACTGCTGTCGGATCACGGGAAGATGTTAACCGCAAGCGTAGCTGAGCGAGGGTGAGACGGCAAGAGATGATTTTCAGCAAGAGGAATCTTCAGCGAGGCGCGCCGCGTGCGTCCCTTACATAGCCACGCGGCGTCGAAGGAAAAATCTAGAACCTTCGAGAATGTTCGACGAGAGAAAAGCAGGAGTAATACCCTTGGATGATCTTCTAGTATATTATATTTCGGGTCGTATACTTGCTCAGACTTGCCGAGTTTTGTTTGTAAACATTCGCTCGAGTGCGCGCCCCAGTCCGCAAGTGCGTGCCAGTCTAGGCGCCAATGATGTACGGCGCGTATGACCTTTCTTTTGTTTGAAATTCATGGGACTGCATCAATCCCGAGCAAATGCAATGAAGACGCTTGCGACTTACCATCAAAACCCGGCTAGCTTGTTTACGCGAGAATATTTTTGAGGATTAAAATATTTCAAAACAGTTGAATGAAAAACATTTCTTAAAATTCGTTGCAACCCGTAACTCGCCACGCGCGACTCTCGACATTTGTGTCATGCATTGCTGTCAAGTACCACAAATGTTGCTGCTTGAATACGCCAAGCGAAGACGCTTGACCAAAAATCACTCCCACCCCGATGAGTCCCGGAGAGGGTCAAATCTTCCACTTTACGCATTGCCGCCAAAGATACTCCTTCGATATTCTCATTGTCTAAGCCTAATTTCTTATGAAGTGGGAAAAGGGCGTGCACATTCATCATGCCGCCGAAAAGCGGCGCGCCCTGATTGGAAAACTAAGACCAGAAGCTCCTTGAGTGGGGTCTCATGGTAAGAGGCCTTAAAGATGAGAACAAGGCAGCGAAAACTCGCTGTCCGCGTGGGCAGCCAAGGACTGTGGACAGCCAAGTACTGTCCGCAGAGATAATTCTAGAAAAGGCTCGAGTGGGCAGTCAAGGGCGATTTTATGGAAAGTCAAGTAATAGAAATTAATTGTCCATAGAAGCCAAGTCTAAAGATCATTCAACGCGGAAATAAGTGTTAGTAATCAGATCAAGACTACTGAATCCTCCTGAGTATAAGAGTCACGCCGCACGCGCTTCGTTTGCCGCGTGCAATTGTGTCCAACTCACCGCTGGATCAGATCAAGACTATTGCATCCCTGTGAGTATAAGAGTCATACCGCACACGCGCCCTGATTGGAAAACTAAGACCAGAAGCTCCTTGAGTGGGGTCTCATGGTAAGAGGCCTTAAAGATGAGAACAAGGCAGCGAAAACTCGCTGTCCGCGTGGGCAGCCAAGGACTGTGGACAGCCAAGTACTGTCCGCAGAGATAATTCTAGAAAAGGCTCGAGTGGGCAGTCAAGGGCGATTTTATGGAAAGTCAAGTAATAGAAATTAATTGTCCATAGAAGCCAAGTCTAAAGATCATTCAACGCGGAAATAAGTGTTAGTAATCAGATCAAGACTACTGAATCCTCCTGAGTATAAGAGTCACGCCGCACGCGCTTCGTTTGCCGCGTGCAATTGTGTCCAACTCACCGCTGGATCAGATCAAGACTATTGCATCCCTGTGAGTATAAGAGTCATACCGCACACATTCGCTCTGCCGCATGCAATTGTGACCAACTCATTCGTGGATCAGATTTAAACTACGATATCGCTGCGAGTACACTAATACATTTTATCTATTCAATTGTTGTCAGTCGGCGGTAGAATCGG